TTTTTTTTTTTTTTTTTTTTTTTCTTCTTTCCTCTCTCTTTCTTTCCTTCTCTTTTCCTTTCTTCTACCGTATCTTTTCTCTAAATTGTGCACTTTCTCTTTACAACAAATGTGATATATATATACACAAATGATATCAAAATGGTATCAAGTGGTTAGAAATTGATTAGTGTGTGGTTGGAAAATGGTTGACTAACCATTAAAAATTTGTAGTTGATGGCATATAGTGGTTAGCATATTAGGAAGAAGAATAGGAATATTAGGAAGAATATTAATTAAAATATCAATTTAACACTCATTATAATACCAACCACCATTCCTGCACCGCTAAGCTCTTGCTTCTCCTCACCCTTCTCTCCCTCTCTCTTGCCGTCTTTGCCTTCCTCTTGCAATGGAAGTTCCCGGGAAAGGATTCTTCTCCCCTGCCCACGCTTCCACACTCTTCTTCTCATTGTTCCACGCTTCTGAGAGACTCCAATACGGCGTCGTTTCCGTATTTCCGAGATTGGAAGTTCAATTTCGATGCCGATCTTAAGCCCAAGGTTCTTTTTTTTTTCTTTTTTTCTTTTTTTTTTACTGATCTGCTCTGGGGTTTTGATGTCAGTGAGATCGGCTATTGGGGTTTTGAATTGACTTTGACGTAATGGTTATTAAGGTTTCTTTCTGTTGCGGTTATGTGATTTTTTGAGAAAATGCGCCACTTTCTGGTTTCTATATCCATGTGAAATATTGTTTTATGGAATGCAATGAAATGGAGTAAGGAATTGTACCTGTGATTCGGTTATTTTGAATTGGTTATCTGAATCCGGATTGGTATTATTATTTACTTCATTTCTTTTTTTTCCCCATTAAAAACGTACGTTAATCAGTTATTTTGTCTGCGTTTCTATATTTAATGCAGAGTTGCTACTGAAAGTTTCCTTATTTCTTGGTATGAAGCACATTATTTGGGAGAATCTCTTGAGAAGACAAATATTTTAACTTTCCAGTTTATGGTGAACATTTTGAGATGCAGTAAACAATATTTAATCCAAATCTTGACAATATTTGTTTAGATGAGTTGAGCATCAAATGGTTTGATGCCATTTGGTCTATAAACTCTCTATTAGAATATACACTTATGAGTTGTCCTACATTGATTTGATAGGGTTAATGAACCTAGTTTATAAGTTTAGTGGTCTACTACTCCCATCACCAATTGGTTTTGGGATGAAACTTAATTTGGGGTTCATTTGGGCTAACCCTCTTATAGTCCGTTTCACCTGTGTGAGACCGCACTCGTTTTGCCCCATTTGACAGTCTCCATATTTGATATAAAATATAATTAGATATAGGAGTTGAAGGTGATAGTAATTGAAATTGAACTTGGTTGTGGCATTCCACTTTTTATACCCACAATCTTGGCAAATTTTCATTTTCTATCAACAAGGTTGCGAGAATGTTAGTTACTTATTAGTAGTTTGTGATTCAATATATGCGCAGATATGTATTACAACTACTACATCTGCAAGCTTGGAGCAGATTTTGCCCTGGATATATTATCATAAGGTTATTGGCGTTTCAACTTTCTTCCTTTTTGTTGAAGGGAAGGCCGCATCACCTGAAGTATCCAGAGTTCTTCAATCCATTCCGGTAACTCTATATGCACCTACTTTTACTTTTTCTTTTTTTTTTCTTTTCTTTTCTTTTGTTCCACTAATAATGTTTTTTTTTTCTGAAGTTTTTTATTTTTTTTTTTATTTTTCATTCTTCTCTTTCTCTTATTTTTTTTCTGTAGTTTACGTGACCAATATGGTCAATAGTAAATGATCTTAATTATTTGACAGAATTGTGAAAAGAAATCTATATATTATTAAAGAGAAATTTCTCTATAAATAAATCTATTGAAATTTTCCCACTTTTATTATTTTATTTTATAGTAATTTTTTTCCAAATAATAAACGTAGTTCATATAATATGGTAATTTACAAGTATATTTTTACCATATTCAAATCTTACATACTATTCCAATCTTTAGTAATTGTTTCGCCAAATAAAATTAATTCATAAATAATAAAATCTACGAATCAAAATTTACATTTTTCCTCTCCTGCGTAAATCTTAAAAATTTGTTCAAAACCATACTAATGATTTTAATATTTTTATTGGTTAACAATAAAAAATAGTAAAAAAAAAAACGTTAGTTATTGTTATTAGATCACATCAAATCTCTCGTATTTTGACAAGTCAAAATGTTGAACTTTCTGTAATCTACTAAGATTAGTGTTTTTAGTAATTTTTTTGTCCAATAAAAATATATCGTAAATTAATTAATTTTCAACATAGAAATAACTACTGAAAGCTAAAGTTTGAAATAGTGTAAAATTTGTTAGGCTCTTACCGATTTGATCTATATTTAAATACTAAAAAATAATATGTTTTTTTTAATTTAACAATTATTTAAATTCACATCACATTTTTCAAACAAACTATATATTGTTATTGAGGAGACACCCCCATAAATCTACATCTTTATTCATGTACTATTAAACAAAAGAATCTATTAACTAATTAAATAAAAACCTGAAGAAGAAATAGAAGCAAATAAGGTAGGCTACAAAGAGAGCCAGTTACTCCTGTAGTCATAGTCAAAGATTGGTGGGAAAAGACCAAGAGAAGCAGGTGAGTACCAAGTAGACCATCAGCAAGATCAAGTCTTGGATCAGGTTGATAGCAAAAAATTGAAATTAAACTCTGTAAAGGTGGGGTTGCCAGCCTCGAATGGCACCACAATGATCAATGTTAGTTCTTGTGTGGAATTGTAGATGGCTTGGTGGGCCCTCTACAATTTCCCAAATGCTAGAGTTAAGTAAAACTCACCACCCACATTTCTTTTTCTTTCTGAAACTAAGAAACAAAAAGCTTTTGTAAAATCAGTTAGCAAGAAACTGGGATATGATGACAGAGTTGCAGTGGTAGACTTCATGGGACTTAGTGGTGGTTTAGCATTATTTTGTGATTCTCACATTGTAAGCCAACACATTATTTGCAAAGAATTCTATATAGCTGTGGAGTTCAACTCCCCTCCCACAACTCTCAGTGGGGAATTTTTGTTTATCTAAGCCCTTGCAGACTTACTAGAGCAGCTCAAGAGATTCTTCTTGATAAACAAACCTGGGGCAATAATTGGTTTTCCATTGCGGACTGGAATTACATTTGTGCTAATTCAGAGAAATCAGGTGGCATCCATAGAACTCCTGCCAACTTTCAAGGTTTCAACACCTTTATTGACAGTATGGAGATGGAAGGGATCAGAATGGATGGCTATCCCTATACATGGTGTAATAATAGCGCATATGCCGATTTAGTGGAAGAGCAGCTAGACAGAGCTTTTGACTCTTTTGATTGGATCAAGGCTCATCTTAATGCATCAGTTTTAAATGTCCTGAGAAGCTCTACAGATCATTCAGCTCTGCTCTTTGACATGGGATTACCAAGAGAAAGAAAAAATGCTAGATCCACTTTGATAAGAGATGGATTGGTAGAGATGGTTTTGAAGAAGTGGTAAGAAAGCTTGGCACACTCCAGTCTCTTGTAGCCCTTTTTTCATATAAAGTACAAAATCAAGAACATTAGGATTGCTCTGCTCATCTGGAGCTCTTATTTCCAATCTTAAAACCAGGCTTTCATTACAGAGCTACCCAAAAGATGGAAATTCTGAGCAGGGATAAGTCAGGGACTACTTG